TCCTAATACAAAATTGTTAGAGCAAATAATTATGTATGATATAAAAAAAAGAATTATCAAAATCGGAAATGTATTTTAGGTTTTATCAACACAAGAGTGATGGTATTTTATAATAATATGAATTTTTTAAAATGTTCAAAATAAATTATTTTGAATAGTATTGGATTTAATGTAAATTATTAAATTTATTAATGATTATTATGCTTATTCTTTATTATAAACTGTTTGTTAAATGAATAAAAATTATATTTATGAGATATGTCGTTTATAAAAACAATCACTCTTTTGTTGATAAAACCTAAAATACATTTCCGATTTTGATAATTTTTTTTATATTGTGCACAATTATTTGCTCTAACAATTTTGTATTGGGACCATCTCAATATTCCTTACTTAAAATTTTCCCATTAGATTAGCATTACGAAAAGCTTGTCTTTATTAAGCCATAAAATCTATACCAGTGATCAGATTTTAGTAATTCTTTTTTTTGTGTGCAGAAATTATCCCTTTACAAATTTCCCATGGGGACCATCTTTATATTTCTTATGGTTTGGCCAATAATATGACCATTCCGAATTGTGCCATATTTTGTATACCACATAACCAAAAAAATTTAATAGGCTAGTCAATAGATCTCGCGTATATGGGGCTCTTAAATGCTTTATACAGAATCAGATTATCTCTTATGGTTAAAGAGATATAGCGTTTTCCGCATGCTGGAGATCACTTGACCGCCTCTTTACAAACTTATAAACTATTAATATCAATAACCGACAAATTGAGACATTCATTGCTAGGATTTATAATCAGTTTCAAGTAATGAAGTGTTTTAATAAGTTTCGAAACAAATTTTGTTTTTGACAATTTGTTATCATTTTATTATTGACACCATTTTTGTAAAGAACAGCACTTTTACTGATATATGTCAAAAGTGTTACATTTTTAAAAATTAGTAATTTTATCAAGTTTTATCAAAAGTTAATTGTGTAAAAGAATAGTGTATCAAGTGAATATACCATGTGTCAATAGTAGTCAAATTTAATGTTTAATAATCATAAATGATAATAAATTGTCAAAAATAAAATATGTTTCGAAACTCATTAAAACATTTCATTACTTGAAACCATAGTGACTATGTCTGTCAATGTGTGCATATCTGTACATTTGTTCGCATTATAGGGTAACATATTTTATAATCAATTTATTAGTTTTATAATGCATTCAAATATGTCGTTATGAAAAAGAGTGTGGTGGGTTGCATTAATTTAATTATTTATGGGTAATATTTTGCAAAGAAAATGTAATTGCATTTGTGATTAATGTTTGAAAATATACCATAATACAACAAAAATAATGTCTAGTCAAAAACATTTTTTGAAAGCTTTTTTTGGAAGCTGCCATTTACTGTTTGAAACTAAATATAAATCCTAGCAATGAATGTCACAATTTGTCGGTTAATAAATGCGTTCATATGTAGTGCAAAAATAGTTCAATTTATTCATTATAAATCATTGATCATATACAACAATGGTCAATATCACTAGATATATGCGTTCATATTTAGTGCAAAAATAGTTCAATTTATTCATTATGAATCATTGATCGTATACAACAAGTGTCAATATCACTAGTTTAACAAAAGTCATCATGTACCAATGTCATTGGTGTGATAAGTTTTGAAATATATTTTCATTGTATTTATAATTAATTATAACAAATTGTTAAACATAGTTTTAACCATAGACTTAAACTGCAATACCAATATTAGCTAAAAATCATTTTGCTTTGATTAAATACATGTTAAATTTTATAATTAAAATCAATATTCATAATTTAAAATCAATATTAAATAATGAAAATTAAACTACATTTGTAATTAACAAATAACTATATAAATGTATTATTATAGACTAAATTTATAACATTCATAAAAATCAGTCAAGAATTTCATTTATCACAAGATTTCTATAATATTTTCGATCGATTTTTTCGAGAGTAGTCAACACAATAGAGTTCACAAAAACTACACCACCGGTCAGTTGTTTAGTGTAAGCCAAAGTGCCTGAGTATAATAAAATAATAATGTTTATAAGTAAAAGAAAAATTGCAACGCGGTGATTACGTTAACCACAATTCTAATAATACTAATTAAATGTAATAATATTATATATTTCATTAGTATCAATACTTTGGGTATCATTAGAATTGTGGCATGTAATATTCTTACAGGAAACAAACTCTTCAATAGCAGTCGCAGTAACACTATGTCCTGGTGTGAGCACAACATAAGCCCGGGGGCGATGTGTGCCCGCCTTGTTATTAACGCCCACAACAACCACTTCAGCGATGGAAGGGTGGGTCAGGAGATACTGTTCTATCTCTACGGGAGATATGTTAGCATATGACTGACCCACTCCTACGCGCATCACTTCTTTCATACGATCCGTAATGAATATACACTGCCTGTCGTCGTAGTGCCCGATATCTCCAGTCCTAAACCAACCCTCACGATCAACCGCCTCAGCCCACGCTTTATCATTGTTTTTATAGCCCCTAATCATATTGACCCCTCGTACATAAAACTCGCCATCTTGATTTGGACCAAGGACTTTACCCGTGGTCAAATCGACGACTTTTAACTCGGTGCCTGGAATTACCTGGCCGCAATTACCAGGATTATATTCTGATGTTGCTAGATGAAGAGTAATCGGCAAATATTCTGTCATACCATAAACTAATTAAAATAATAGATAATAAATTAATAATTATAAACAATGTTTGCATGCATATCAATAATTAACTGATGTTCAGGTAATGCATAGGGAATAGGGGGGAAGGTGTGTCATTATATATAATAAATGATTACAACTAAGATATTTACATAAACCACATACCCTCTCTAAATATAACGCCGTACTTATCAATGAACGCGCGGGCGATGTCGACCGGAAAGGCAGCCGCGCCAGTGAACACCATTTTTAAACTAGACATATCGTATCGGTCAAAATAACCATGGTCAACCAGATGTTTACCCAGATTAGGGTATAACATTACACTGTTTATTTGATATTTTTGTATACACTGGGCGACAAAATCCGGCTGGCGGTTAGCAAACATGACCATGGTGCCACCAAATGCCAGTTGTAAGGGTAGAGTGTTGGCGCCCGATATATGACCTAACGGTGACATGAAAGCCGAAATAGCGTTCACGTTAACGCCGGCGCTATTTACCAAGTTGAAATTGTTCAAAATGACCCTATGGGGCACTATCGCGCATTTGGGCGCACCGGAAGTTCCAGACGTGTGTATAAGAAATACGGTCTCTTCTACCGATTCTACCTTAAAGTGTGGCACTTTAGCCAACTTTCCGCCAAACCTTTGGCCCTCATCCCTGAGCTGTTCATATGTGATGTGGCGATCGTGTAGACCATCAAACACCACAACCAATTTTAGCTCGCTGTTTTTGTCGTTCAATATGGCGCTAAATTTAGAAAGCTCATTAGACGAGCAAACCAAGATGTCGGCACCAGAAACTTTTATCTGCTGAACGACTTCGTACTGACCATAGCTAGGACTGAGAGGCATGAATGTGACTCCCAATAGATGTATGGCTACTATGAATATTGTGTGTTGTATTGAGTTTACGCCACAAAAAGCAACCAGCGATGAACTGTTGACCCCTCGGTTCAGTAATGCCACCGCTATATTCATGGCATGTTGTTTCAAGTCAGCCACAGTAAGTGTGTGACCTGTAGTTGCCTCAATCTTAATGAATTTAGTTGTGTATAAAATTATTTTTATTTTATTGTCAACATCTAGTTGATAATTAAGTATTTAACTTACTATTACAATCTTATCATCGCGTAATTCTTGTAATCGTTTATAAATTAATTCACCCACACTTTTATACGGACTTTGTTTAAGTTTTACATTTGAACGCAATATATTGTCCGTGCTCATTTTCCCAATTAATTATTAAAACAATTGTAGTTCCAATATAGCATTAAATTATTGTTAAATTAACTTAGACAAAATTGTAAGTTAAATGTTTTGAGTTTTCTTTTATATATTGTCAATAAAAACTATTAATATACAGTATATAGTATGAGTAAGCTTAAAAATTATGACTTTACAAATTTGAAATATTTCATTGTTTATGGTGAAACAAATCGCTTAACCCTTATTCTGCTTCGTGACCCACTTGTGTCCAATTGTGTTTTCAAAAATCATTTAAAAATCAATGACAAGCACTAGCTTAAAAACATTTCAGGATTAATTCACAAATCATAATATTTAAATATTCTTAAACATATGTCGAAATTAGTTGATTGTAAGTATGATAAAACATGATTTTATACAAAATTGGGCCATCTTTCAAGATATGTGAGTTTATTTTCATATCATAAACAGCACTAATCGATGTAGATGTATTACGCGCATGTCAACTATTATGTGCATTTTTTAATATGCACGTTGTGCGCATCGGTACCGTAATGTATATAAGTTAAAATGTGTTATAATATCAAATCACTTAAAATGTTGAAATGTTTAGCGCATGTGTATTATAGTTTCACGTGATATATCAATTCACTTCAGTTTTATATCACTTATAAAACACTTCAATGTGTCGACTTGTGTTGTCAAATACATGTAAACCCAGATTGCTTTTGCTTTATATAACTAGTAGCGCCTCTATTGATTGACGCGGAAATAACTGCCATAGATGTGAATTGATTTCATAATGCATTGTGAGGTACAACTGTGAGGAGACTTGTTTTGGTGCGCAATCCTACTCTCTGATTGGTCCAAAACATGTCGACTTACAGTTTGCCCAAGAGATGGCCTCTGATGCGATTG